TTAAAATTATTAACCAATTAAAATTAATAAATCACATGTTTTATATGTACTAAATGTACTAAATTTTGAAAATTTCAAAGTACTAGTACAGTACAGTACAAATTCCCAACCCTGGTCTAGATATTTTCAAAATTTGTATAGAATATTTGACTCTCCAGAAGTTTTTTTATTAGACATATTCATAGAGAATGATAATATGACGTCAGTAAAGATTTGTTCATTATTTACGAGTTTGGAAATATATTCTTCTTTCCATTCTGGTAATGTAAATAGGTTTGTGGTCAGATTGTTTTTTGTTCATGAGGTAAATATTTTAGATATTAGATTTTTAATTTATGTTAGATCTGTCAATAGTATTAATTTGTCTGTGATATGGTCTTTGACTATTTCTGTGATTATTTGAGGTTTATATCATTCCAGTACTTTTTTTAATAATTCTTTTTTATTTGTTATAAAGAGAGTTTGTCTATTTAAAATATTGATTTTTATATGTGTTTTGCAGTACTTTTGTATTTCTACTTTATAAGCTTTTTTAACTATTGTAAGTAGTTTTTTTATATTCTGTAATTTATTGTTAATTGATATTGTATTGTTATTTATATTTGATAGGTCAATAATAAAATAAAGTGATTTTGATTCATTATTGTGTTATATGATCAAATTATTTAATTATAGTTATACTTGCACTCAAAATTATTTTGGAGTCCCGAAATTACAATTTCAAAGAAAAAAGTTGAAATAGTTTTTTATAGAAGACAAAATTATTTTACTTAAAATTCAAAATTTTTTGACTACCCAGATTTATTCTTTGATTGAATATACACATAACTAGATACTTTTTTTACTTCTATATATAGAATAGATTCTGCATAAATCTCAAAAAATTGAAATACCTCAAAAATTCAAAATCAATTTTGAGAACATGTATAATTATAGTTGTATTATATTAGTATTGTTTTTATGGTTTCATTTTATTTCTCTGAGTTTTCTATATATTTTTTGTATACGAATAACATCTGCATATATAGGAATATGATTGTGTAGGTATGCTTTATGTGACGTTATTTGATTGTTATTACGTTTAGTTCATTTAATAGTTTTGTTTGTGCTTTGTATTATATTGAATTTGATTTGTTGCCATTGACATGTATAGAGTTTGTTGTCATAATTGTTTTATTAGATAATTCATTGATAAACTTATTTTAGTTTTCTTTTTGAATTATATTAAGGTTATATCTATACTGAGTTTTCTGTTTATATATATCTGAAGGAGATGGTTTACGAAATATGTCAAGTAGTATCACTCTGGTGCAGTAGTAATCTGTTATAATCTCTTCTCCAGTATCTATAATATCTGCATTGATTAGTATGTCGGCTATGGGTGATAATCAGATTTGGTCTATTCTTGATTGAATTTAGATAAATTGCAGTATGTTTGTTGTATTCTCTGTATCACAGATCAAAATTCAAATATCAGATATCTATCAGATACCTATTGGCCTCCTGATATTTTCAAATATCAAATGATTATCAAGAAATTATCAGGTGCATAAAATATTTTTATATATATCGGAAGTCCGATATCTGCATTTTTTTTAAGGGTCCAATAACACTTTTGTAAATTTTATAATGTTATCAGGAAATTTTTGAGGGTGAATATATCCAGATAAATTTTATAATATACGGATATATGCGGATATATTTGAAATATGTGAATTTTATAAATTATAAAATGGAAATAATTCATCATCATTACAACGTAATAATTTTTTATTTTAATAAGTAAATATTGAATACTGCATTAAGTAAGTTGAAAGATAAAAAGGTTGTGCATCTCCTGTAAAAATTTCAGACCTATATCATCATCAAAATTGAGTAAATTATGAGCAATTAAATTTTAAACAGAAATAATTTATTGTGTTCAAAAATAACCATTCATAATTTGCTCAATTTTGATGATATAGGTCTGAAATTTTTACAGGAGATGCACAACCTTCTTGTATTTCTACTTACTTAATACAGCATTTGACATTTACTTATTAAAATAAAAAGTTGTTACATCGTAACGATGATAAATTATTTTCATTTTGTAATTTATAAATTCTGATATATGTGAATATATCCAGATAAATTCATATGCAAATATATGTGGATATATGCAGATATATCTGGATAAATTCACGTGAATATATCTATGGCATGTCAAACAGGACAAAAGTCCGAGTTAAATCTGATGTATCAGAGTTAAATATGGTTATCGGAATATAATATGATATATCGGAGTTATATGTGATAGATTGGTGATAAATATAATATATCAGGATTATGTCTCATATATAATTGATGTTTAAGCATATAGATCAGAGATAATCAATTTTTTATCTGAGATAAATCATTTTTATTTGAGATAAATCATTTTTATCTGAAATAATATCATCATATTCCCAATAATTGTTTAAATATATGATTTAATTAAAGTAATTAAAATATTTAAATAAACTCTACCCATCAATTAAAATCAATTCAACATAAGTGAAAAAATTTTTTTTTATTTGAATAAAAATGTAAAAATAATGATCTTGATCTTTGTGATTCTTTTTTTTAATATTTTTTTTTATCTTTCGCATTTACACATATTTTTAAAAATGCTAGGAAAGTGTACCAAATGTAACTGTCCTAGATTTCGTGCCAACCCTAATAAAACTTACGTGTGTCATACATGTGAATATGATAAATTATTTTATAAAATCTCAGAACAAAATATACAATCTATGATTTTATACAATCCACCAAAAAATATTCCTTTAGACAATCCCTTAAGCAATCCTTTAGACAATTCTTTAAATAACAAAACTAATTTTTTAAATATACAAAATCAACTCAATACCTTTTTTAGACCCTTGAACAATGGAAGTATAAATAATGAAGCCTCTAGTCATATTTTTAATCCAAATGAGGCAATGTCACGATATTTTACTAAATTCAATATACATAGAAAAAAAAAAAACAAAAGGACATGAAATATTAAATGTTGTAATAACAGTTATTTATTTAACTTATGTTGAAACATACGTGTCACTACTTACAATTTCTAGAAATGGAGGAGAGTAGTAAATGTTATATTATTTATATTCTTTAAATTTGATATAATACTAATTTAAAATATATTAATTATTTTTATTTTAATTATAGAGAATTATTGAAAAATAGGTTGATAAAAGAAATTACATTTGTAGAAAATAATCTTGACACTATTGATATAAAAATAGTTATGGAATTTTCTATTTTAAAGAATAGAAATTGGGTAATATATCGAGTTGGTGGTGTTCAGTTATTTCCAGTAAACAGAAATAATGGTTCATACACAATCCCAGTTACCATAAGGTATTAATTTATTTTTTTTTATTTTTTTTTATTTTTTTTTTTATTTTTTAATTAAAAATAAATAATAATTTTTAATAGAATTAGAGGACAAAGAAAAAAATTATATATTGAATTACAAGATATATCAATTACATTTAATAATGACAATGATAAATTTATTTAACAATAATATTTTTAAAATTTGTATAGATTTTGTACAATATTAATTATATTATTTTTATATAGAATATCAAGAAGAATCATCTGCTTCTGGTTCTGTTTCTGGTTCTACTTCTGATTTATTAAGAAATATTAATTTTGAATTTACACCTAATTTTGAATCTTATTCAGAATCTAATTTTGCAGTAAACTCTTTTTTGACAAATCATATTGTCATATCTAATGAACAAAAGTAAAAATCTAAAGAAAACTATGATAATACATTAAGTATTACAAATATTATTTTCAAAAAAACAACAAATATCAAAGAAATATTTAGAAATTTCAGAAGAATTTTACAAGATGAAAGTAATATTGAAGAAGAAATAATTATTATTATTCTTAATAACAGTGATAACCTAACAATGAATATTTTTAATTAGATTCAAAAGTGTGACAATATCACTTTATTAAATAAACCAAAAGTCAGATTAATGAATGAATTGTAAGTTAATTTTTATATTATTATTCATATTATAACATATTAAATGTTTTATACTTATTTTAATTAATATATAATGTAGTGGTATTGATATTGAAAAATTAATTCATGATATTATATAAACATTTTGAAATCATCTCTCAATACTTGATAATTTTAACAAAATATATAAAGCTGGAAATATATTTGAAGAATCTCTTTCTGGTTCCTTAATTCTTATATCAAATCCTATTTTATTAACACATTTTAAAGCTTATTATAAGCTTAGTCATATACTTTTTTGGTGTTTATTACATGAACTTCCTTTTTCACATTGGTTTCATGAATTACACTTAAATTTTATTATAGGAATTTTTATAAATACTACAAGTTTACTACAGGAAATAAACCCAGTAATATATTCAATAGTACAAAAAATTCAAGTTGAAAAAAATATAAATGATATACTTGAATTTAAAGAATGGACAATATCACGTAATATTTAGGTATAATATAATTTATATATTAATCTTTTTGAATTAACTTATTATATTAGATATATAATTTTAGTTTAATCATTTAGAGAAATTTAAACCTAAAGAATTAGCTACATTTATTATAAATTATGAAGTAACTACTATTCGTGAACCAGAATTAATATAGCTGTCTAATGGATTCAATCAATTCAATTTTGTAAATGTATATATATAATTTTTTATTTATTATAAATCTATTTACAATAATATATTAATTATTATATATTTAAATACAGTATTTGAAAAAAAATAATAATTGGATGACTATATTTTCAGCAATATATAAAGTTGTAAAAAATAAAGATGAACTTTTACAACAATTTGATTTTGATGAAATATTTAAATAGTGTGAATTTTAAAAGGGAATCACTATTTGCTAAATTCTGGGAATTTAATAATTTTCTAAAGACAGAAGAAGATTGTCAAAAGGTTTTTAAATTTATAACTAGAAATATTAGAATTTCTATAAGAAAATTAATAAAGGTATAATTTATTTGTTAATTATTTATTTTAAAAAAATTTTTAATTAATTAATTATTTCATAAAATTTAAAGATTCAGTGAAAAAATGATTCAGGAGAATATAATTGTCTTCCATATGCTGCAATATGCTTTAGTGTATTACGTCTTTCTGATAATTATAAAGATCTGAAATTATTTTTAAAAGATTTGAAGGAAGTTTTATTAAAATGTTCAGATGGAATAAGTGAGTAATTATATATAGATATTTATTATATATTCATTTGTTATAAAAATTGAAGGTTATAAATTCAGAATTTATATTTTTTATAATATTTTATAATAATAATAATGTGATAATATATAACGAGTTGTCTTAACTCATTTATAATTACAAGTAAAATAAAAGTAAATTGAGACAATTCGGTCAAACAGAGTATTAATAAATAAATAAATAATTATTTGAGCAGAATGAAATCTACCCTTTTCTTTATTATTCTTATGCCTTATTTATAT